AGATCATTGATATATTCTTCTATACCTTCTGATCTGCTGCTGATTCCCTCTAAATGTATTTTGCATTTCAGTTATTGCATTCTTCAGCTGTGATTTTTTTTTTAATATTATCTCTTTGTTGAAGTTTCTCTGAGTTCATGCAGTCTTCTCTGAAGTCAAGTGAGCATCTTTATGATTATTTTCTTGAACTCTTTATCAGATAGATTGCTTATCTCCATTTGGTTTAGTTCTTTTTTGAGGTTTTGTCTTACTCTTTCATTTGGGGTATATTCCTTTGTCTCCTCATTTTGTTTGACTCTCTGTGTTTGTTTCTATGAATAAGGTGGAAAACTACTTCTCCTAGACTTGGAGGAATTGCCTTGTGTAGGGGCATTACTATATAGACTATATGTGTCAGGCAGCTGGTCGGCTGGAGCTTTAGTGGGTGCAGGCTGGGTGTCCCAGGGCACCTTGCTCTGGGACCACTCTGGTGTGATGGCTGGAGCTGAAGTGGGTACAGACCAGAGGATTCTGGTGCTCTCTGTGCACAGTATGTCCTGGAGGTACAAGTGGAGCTGAAGTGAATGTTTGCTGGGGCTTCTTGGAGTGTTGTGCATAGTGCGTACCCTAGTGAATTATCTATAGCTGAAGTGGGGATAGGCCTAGAATGTTCTGGAAGATGCAAACCTGATTTTTATTTGTCCCTGAAAGGAGAAGGAAAAATAAAGCATTGCTCATGTAATATTCTTAATGTAACCACATCAACCAAACAGATTACACATTAGCCTCAAAAACACTTTGTATATGATGACTATTCTTTTTGGTGATATTTATTGTAGTAAGGTTAACCTGTATCATTAATGAAGACCATCTAAATTTTTTTATTAACATAATAATGTGTTATTTTTTTCAGGGGTACAGGTCTGTGAATCGTCAGTCTTACACAATTCACAGCACTCACCATAGCACATACCCTCCCCCATGTCTATCACCAGCCACCCCATTCCTTCCACCCTCCTCCCCTCCAGTAACCCTCATTTGTTTCCTGAGATTAAGAGTCTCTTATGGTTTGTCTCCTTCCCTGGTCCCATCTTGTTTCATTTTTCCCTCCCTTCCCCCCACAACCCCCCATGCTGCCTCTAAAATTCATCATATCAGTGAGATCATATGATAATTGTCTTTCTCTGATTGACTTATTTTACTTAGCATAATACTGTCTAATTCCATCCACGTTGTTGCAAATGGCAAGATTTTGTTTTTTGATGGCTGCATAGTATTCCTGTGTGTGTGTGTGTGTGTGTGTGTGTGTGTGTGTGTGTGTTCCGTTGTGTATAGCTTAAAATCTGGAATTGTGATATGTGTGTGTGCGCGCGCGCGTGCATGCCACATCTTCTTTATCCATTCTTCTGTTGATGGACATCTAGGGTCTTTCCATAGTTTGGCTATTGTGGACACTTCTCCTGTAAACATTCAGGTGCACGTGCCCTCTCAGATAACTGCTTTTGTATCTTTAGGGTAAATACAGTAGTGCGATTGCTGGGTCATAGGGTAGCTCTATTTTCAACTTTTTTAGGAATCTCCATACTCTTTTCCAGAGTGGCTGCACCAGCTTGCATTCCCACAAACACTTTAGGAGGGTTCCCCTTTCTCCACATCCTTGCCAACACCTGTCGTTTCCTGACTTGTTCATTTTAGCCATTCTGACTGGTTTGAGGTGGTATCTCACTGTGATTTTGATTAGTATTTCCCTGATGCTGAGTGACCTGGAGCACTTTTTCATGTGTATGTTGGCCATTTGGATGTCTTCTTTGCAGAAATGTCTGTTCATGTCTTCTACCCATTTCTCGACTGGATTATTTGTTCTCTGGGTGTTGAGTTTGCTAAGTTCTTTATAGACTTTGGATACTAGCCCTTTATCTGATATATTATTTGCAAATATCTTCTCCCATTTTGTCAGTTGTCTTTAGATTTTGTTGACTGATTTCTTTGCTGTGCAAAAGCTTTCGATCTTGATGAAGTTCCAATAGTTCATTTTTGCCCTGGCTTCCCTTGCCTTTGGCGATGTTCCTATGTAGAAGTTGCTGTGGCTGAGGTCGAAGAGGTTGCTGCCTGTGTTCTCCGCAAGGATTTTGATGGATTCCTTTCTCACATTGAGGTCCTTCATCCATTTTGAGTCTATTTTCGAGTGTGGTGTAAGGAAATGTTCCAATTTTTCTGTAGGTGGCTGTCCAGTTTTACCAACACCATTTATTGAAGAGGCTGTCTTTTTTCCATTGGACATTCTTTCCTGCTTTGTCGAAGATTAGTTGACCATAGAGTTGAGGGTCTATTTCTGGGCTCTCTATTACGTTCCATTGATCTATATGTCTGTTTTTGTGCCAGTACCATACTGTCTTGATGAAAGACAATTTCATTCTTCTGTATGTGTTTGTCCAATTTTCCCAACACCATTTGTTGAAGAGACTGTAATCTGTTCCATTGGACATTCTTTCCTGCTTTGTTGAAGATGAATTGATGATAGAGTTGAGGGTCCATTTCTGGGTTCTCTGCTCTGTTCCATTGAACTATGTGTCTGTTTTTATGCCAGTGCCATACTGTTTTGATGGTTAGAGCTTTGTAATAGAGCTTGAAGTCTGGAATTGTGATGCTGCCAACTTTGGTTTTCTTTTTCAACATTCCTCTGGCTATTTGAAGTCTTTTCTGGTTCCATGTAAATTTTAGGATTATTTGTTCCATTTCTTTGAAAAGAAATTGGACCATCTAAATTTTTTAAAGATTTAAGAGAAGGAGGGAAAGATAGAGTGCACCAGTGTGGGGAGAGATAGAGAAAGGACAAGAGGGAAAGCTGACTCCGAGCTGAGCACAGAGCCTGATTTAGGGCTTGATCCCACAACCCTGAGATCATGACTTGAGCTAAAACCACGAATTGGATACTCACCCAACTGAGCCACCCAGGTGCCCCAGTAGACCATCTGAATTTTTAAAATATACTTTTTTCCTTATCCAAATACTTGGATAACTCTGAAGAAATAAATAGTGATCTGATGGGGAAGCACCAGATCAGTGGTTGTTAACTCTGGCTGTGCATCAAAAGCTCTTTTAGAAATACATGAATACTTGGAATAAATGGGTGTGTATTGGGACCTATCACTTGTATTTATTTTTAAACAAACTTTTTGTTTTGGGATAATTTTAGGTTTATAGAAAAGTTGCAGAGATACTAACAAATTCTCATATGCCCTTCATCCATTTCCCCTAATATTAACATTTTATATTGCCATGATATATAAATATACCAAAACTAAGAAATTAACTGACACATTACTAATAATGAAACTCTAAATTTTATTTTGGTATTACCCTTTTTCCCACAATTGTTCTGTTTCTGGATCCATTCCAGGATACCGCATTGCATTTAGGGCACTTGATTTTTGTTTGTTTCTTGTGTTTTTCTTTTGACTTAGCTTTTTTTTTCTTTTGAAATTTTTATTGAGAGTATTACATGTTTATATACATTTATAATGAATGAGTGCAGAGATTCCATGTACTTTTTCCTCTGTTCCCTCAGTGGTCATGCTAAATGATAGTATAATATGATACTGTTGACCCTTGAACAATGTGGGTTTGAACTTAGGTCCACTTAAATATGGATTATTTTTGGTAAAATCAGTACAGTACTGTAAACGTAGTTTCTCTTCCTTCTTTTTTTTTTAGAATTTTTTCTTTAGTTTTATAAGAATACAGTATATAACATATGACATACAAAATATATGTTAATCAACTGTTTATATTACGGTAAGGCTTCTGGTCAGTAGTAGACTATTATTATAAAGCTTTGGAGAAGTCAAATATTATATGCAGATTTTTGATGAAGGGGGGCTTGATGTCTCTAACCCCTGCATTATTCAAGGGTCAATTGTACTTATACTTTTATAAGCTTTTAAAAATGATTTTGATGGGTAGTAATTTTTTGTCCAAAATATTAGTGTAGCTTTGCTGATTTTCCTGATTATTAAAATAACTCATGTTCATTTTATAAATTATCACAGGTGAGTGTAAAGTTGGAAGTGAATAATTACCATTATTTTACTTCCCCCAAAAATGCTGTTAAAGTTTTTACATAGTCTTCCAGATTTTTTCAACATGTATGTAAGCTTAGCTAGATTTTTGGAAAATTTATAAAAGCAACATTTACTTATTTAAACAATTCTAGCAATGTAGAGTGGTAACTAGTAATTTTTTTAATGGGTCCTTTTTGGACCTTTTGTATATAACATAGTTATCATATGTATAATTTTCTTGCACAAAACAGTATTATATAAATGTATAAGTTCTTGCTTTTTATACTTCATATATTATGGATATTATTCTATACCAGCATAAATAAGTTTATTTCATCCTTTTTAACTACATGTAATTCTTCTTTGTGACTATATCCCTTTAATCAGTCTCCTATTCACAGGCATGTAGAGTGCATTTTTTTATCATTATAAAAGATACAGGTGTAGATACCTTCATCTTTGTGCACTTCTATTCGTTTTTCTTCGGAGTCACTATAGTTTTAGGTCTATTTGAAGTCTGTTTTAATGTGTCAACCTCTTACAATCATCATGCATATGTAATTTGAACAAAATATATGATTGACTTGGTAATTCCCTAAAAATTAAGGCTCTGTGTTATGGAATATTAAGTAGTCACATACATTGTACATTAAGCAACAATGCACATTCACTGCTAAAGCTGAACAAAAAATGAATTGAAATCAGGATATTGAAAAATAAAACCTTTAGTCAAAGTTACCTTGCCAGACTTACCCTGTCCCTGCCAACATAAATAATTTAAGATTTGTTCCCTTCTAGAACTTCCTTTTATCTCTCCATACTGAAAGTTCTGCAATGACAGGTTCATGTCTCTCTCATTTATCATTATTTACCCAGTGCCTGGCCCATAGAATGTACTTGGTAACAGTTATACAGATTGTTATAGTAGCTACCCACAATCTGCTCTATTGATCATTTCAGATGGAGACGTTTCATCAGTCAGAAATTCATGTTTAGTTCAATCAGATAAGAAAATAGAAGTCAAAGCTTATGTCTCCAGTCCCCCTAGAAATTCACTGTCTACTGCTGCTGTCACGGAGACTGCATGGGATTGTCCTAAAAGCCATGAGGAGCCAGAACAGAAGATTTGCAAGAAGCCTAATCTGGTGGTAAAGCCTGTACAGTTGGTAAGATTTAACGACTTTGTATACTGGAGATTCAGCATTATGAAAAGTAACTGAATGAATTTTTCTTTAAACCAAAATTCTATTTTAGAAAATATTTATTTTATAAATATATTATAAAAATATTTATTTCTTGATAGATGATTTCTTAGAGCAAAGATCTGGTCTGAAGTCACCTTAGGCGGCATTTTTTCTGGTGTTCAGTCTTTGTATGACTAATTTCATTCAGGTCTCATTTTAAAGTTTTCAGATGGCTTTAATGATTTGCCAGTTTTCTCAAGAGGTTACAGCCAGTGCTCAGTCCATGTTTTTTAAAATGTGGGCTGGAGAACCCTCGAGGGCTTCAGAGGGAATAATCGAGGAGCTTTGTTTTTGCTGTATGTCTCAGCTGCTGCAGTGGCCCCCGCCCCTGTCCTCAGTTATAGGGTGCTTTTCCTTTTTTCTTTTTCATTATATTCCCGCACAATTCTCCTTTTTTGTGTTCTCCTCTTCTGTTATTTATTTTATTGTTAAGGAATTAATTGCTTATTCTTCTTTTCTTCTACCATCTATACCTGGCTTCTTTCATGAAAGGAAAACATTTTGTTTGCATATTTTCTAGAGAACAAGAGAAAGGCCTAAAGGAAAATAAGATATTTTAGAATAAGAGTGTTTAAGAAACCCTATTTTTGGTTGGAAGACTAGTGTGAAATTTAGCATTCTTTAAAGTTACCTTTGTTGGTAGGGCTGGGTAAGATGATAGTCTATATTGCCTCAGTCTGAATATTTTAAGTACCATATTTGCAGTTTTGTATGGGGCAACTGTATAACATACTTTTAATATCATAAGGCAGTAGTTTTCATATATTAATGTAGTTAGGATCACCTAGGGAATTTTTTTTTAAGATTTTATTTATTTGATAAAAAGCACAAGCAGGGGGAGTGGCTAGCAGAGGGAGAGGGAGAAGCAGGCTTCTTGCTGATGTGGGGCTCCATCCCAGAACCCTGGGATCATGTCCTGAACTAAAGGGAGATGCTTAATCCACTGAGCCCCCAGGCTTCCACCTAGGGAATTTATGAGTGCATAATCGGAGGCCCCACTTCCAGGTACTCTGTTTCAGTCTGTCCTGGCTAATGCCTAAGAGCCTTCATTTTTATAATTTCCCCGGTGATTCTGATAAAAACTCATGAAATATATTGAGAAATGTCACAGTTTGAAATGCCACTTAAAGTTTTAGAGCAGTTTCTTTTCTTTTTTAACTTGTAGCAAGTAGAAGTTAAGTCACAGCTCAACCTGGCGATGGCAAATCGTGATATCCCACCAGATGCTGTACGGGACAAGCAACTATGCAGACTGCCACCATTAGATACCAGTACCCTTGTGGGGGTCTTTGTGGAGTATATCATCTCTCCAAGTCAATTCTACATCCGAATCTATAGCAGGGATTCATCAGAGTTACTTGAAGACATGATGATTGAGATGCGGTAGGAGTCCGTTGTTTTCAGTGTATTTTTCATGTATCTCGTTCTAAATCAGAAGTTCTCAATGTTTTGTTTTTAGGGTGGTTAAAAATTAAGGACTCGAGAACTTCTGTTTATTGATATTTATCTTAGAAATTAAAACTAACATTTACGTATTTTTTGTCTAAAAATAATGTTAAGTCCATTTGTGTAAATATGAATAACAGTTCTGTGAAAAATAACTTTTCCAGAAATCAGAATATTGCCATTGTTCTACATTTTTGTAGATCTCTTTAATTTTAAATCTGTCTTAATAGAAGAAAGTTTGATTTTAATATCTGCTTTTGTCTTTAATCTCTTGAGGTACATTGTTTTGGTCGAAGTATAGGAAAACATCTGGCCTCATACAGATACATAGTTGGGAAAAGGAGTATTTTAATAGCTTTTCCAGAAAATTGTGAATCTTCTTTGATATTTTCAGAAGATTTGTGAACATTCCAGAACTTGGCAAGTGGTAGTTTTTTAAAGATTAGTTGCAATGTGGAATTTGAACTTTTCACACTCTACTGTGTTAAATCCATTAGTCTTCCTTTGCACCTTGAATGAATCCAGGATTGGTTATGCAATTGCAGGCTCCAACGCAGAATTAAAATGCAAGGTGCCAAGTTTAAAAACCATTAAGAATTTCGGGACAATGGCAGAACATTAAAGCAAGCATAAGGCCCTTGATTTTTTTTTTTTTTTTAACATAAGACCCTTCTAAGTGTGGACTCAATGCAGCTGGTCCTGAAAGAATCTTTTACCCCCATTAATCATTTTAAAACACCATGCATTGGTAATTTGGAAAATACTGGTTTGCTGAGTTACGTAGATCTTCCACATTTATTAATATCACCACTCATCTCATCAGAGAAGTATTAGGGAGCTGTCAAGCTCGTGGTGGTAGACGCAACATTTCCAAAATCCTAATTTTCACTTGAAAGCCTTAAATTTTATCAGTGATGACAAATACTCTCAGTGTTTTCTTTGAAGTGACAGGCTCATCTCATTTTTTTGAGAAAATGTGTGTCAAATACCTAAGTCTGAATAAACAAAGTTTGATAATGGTCCTTTCAAGCAAAAATGGTGTTCCATGAGAACAATGGCTAGTTCATTTTCCAAGTAAAATATTCCACAAAAAGAGTAGCTAGTTCAATTCACAACTCAAATGTATAAGTGCTTTTCTGTAAGACAACTTGAGAAGTGATTTCTGTGTATAGTACTTCCACTTTTGTCACATAGAACGTTGAAAAGATGGTCACTCAGTGGTTGAGATTTAATAAAACTTAATTTTTATTTATCAAGGACATTCTTAAGTGACATTGGCTTCTTTTTTTTTCTTTTTTTCTTTTGTCATGAGTGCATGGCAGTGACATGTAAATGACAGCTAGTAAAGTTGGTGCTGTTGCCTTGATTTGGCTAAGGCACCTTGCTTTTATACCATCACTGCAAATACTAACACAGTGAAAAAGGCAAATTGCTATTTTCACAATAATAAAGAAATATTAAATTAGTCTTTATTTTATGGACTTGTTGAAAGGGCATCGAGGTCCCAGGGCTTTGGAGAACTACTACTCTAAATTAATCTCTTTTCTCTGGGGGAAATGATGCCCTTTCTTAGTAAAAATCATGTAAAATGTGTACATTTCCCATCGCTTTAGATTTATTCAGGAACAACAGTATCATTTTTGCATTATTGTCACATGTAAGAATAATTTATTATATACTTCTCCAAGAGCATTCCATTTTACCACATTATATACTTCATAGCTCTCTTACCCAAGAACACCTGGCATTATGTAAGTCACATAATAATCACTCAGTACAAATATTATCATATATTCCACTTCAGTATGCCTATAAGATTTAGTATGTTTTAAAGCACAATTGCTGGCTCTGTGACCTTGAAGTTACTTTAACTCTCTAGGCCTAGTCTCCTTATCTCTAAAGTAGGGATAGTAATAGTACCTGCCTCACAGAGCTGTGAAGATTAAAGTACTTAGAATGGAGTCTGGCTCAAAAGTTGGCGGCTGTTACTGTTAATACCATATCTGCTGTGTGCTTGGGATGTTGAGGCATGAGGAGTATGAGGAGAAGACAGGCATGGTCTTTGCCTTTGTCAACACCATGATTGTCTGGGAACATAGGGGATGTGTGGGGCATTGCATGAGGTGGTAATTCTGCCTGGGCAGGTAGAAGAGAGTTTCACAAAGGAGGTGCTTGAGCTCTGCTTAAAAAACAAGTAAGAATTTGCCAGTCAAGGAGGTGTGAGTGGGTATGTGCAGACAGTCACTGGCACCAAGGCCAGCGTTGGCATTAACGACAGGAGCAGCATCGTGCTCTAGGAACAAGTAGGGGAGTGAAGTCACCACTGTGTGAGGTTGGGTGGACAGTGACCGAAGGTGAAACTGGAATACTAGGGAAGAGCTGGAGTTGGGTTACATTTTGTTCAGAGAGTATGAGCTTAAAGGAATGTGTAACTTTTTATTTGAAGAAGTTTATTTGATGAGGAGAAGGGATTTGGATAGAAAGAGGAAAATAAAATTAATTAGTATTTTTTTTAAAGATTTTATTTATTTATTTGGCAGACAGAGATCACAAGTAGACAGAGGCAGGCAGAGAGAGAGAGAGAGGGGAGGAAGCAGGCTCCCTGCTAAGCAGAGGGCCTGATGCGGGGCTCGATCCCAGGACCCTGGGATCATGACCTGAGCCGAAGGCAGAGGCTTTAACCCACTGAGCCACCCAGGCACCCCTAAAATTAATTAGTATTAATAAACGTCGACAAATCAGAAATCGTAGGGATTCTTTTCCTTTCTGCCAAGATTTTCTTGCTCTTGATATGTCAGTAAAAATGATCTTGGTCTTTTCTTCTCCTGCGTGATTCCCTGTATTATGGAATTCTGTAGGCGCTGCTACTCTAATCAGCTGGTTTCTGATCGGTACGCCATGCCAGAGTATTTCATCCAACCAGGACATCTCTGTTGTGTAAGGATTTCTGAGGATAAGTGGTGGTATCGGGTCATTATCCATCGAGTCCTTGGGAAGCAGGAAGTTGAAGTATTCTACCCAGACTTTGGAAATATTGGAACTGTTCAGAAGTCCTCCCTGAGATTTCTCAAGTGAGTTAACAAATCTTATTAAATTATTCTTAAGTTTTGAATCCTTGTGCTGAAGCCACATGGAGTTAGGATCACTTTTCCTTTTCTCTTGCCTTCCTCATTCCATTCTTCCCTCCTTTCCATCCCTCTCTGTTCTTAGTGCAGGTAGCCTTGGCATGCAGTTCCTTAGTTTCACAGGGAGATTATAATCTCTTATGTCTTCTTTCACATGACTGTGAATCTGAATGGACATATAACTAAATTCCAGTCTCTTATTAAGAAAATGATTTTTTGGGTCATGCTAAGTTATATTTATATAGTAGGAAGGTTGGTTTGTTCCTACCTATATTTTAATTGCATGGCTTTCAAAGATTATTATGTTTAAAAATTTTATTTCTTAGATTGCTTTGAAGTATAAGACATTATCTTAAAAATGCATGAATAAAATACTCTGAAGTGGTGTGAATAGCTAAAATCAAGAATGGGTTAGAGATTCTGTGAAATATATTTAAGAATACGATTCAGTAATTCGTGTATTTGCTTTTCTCTTACAGGTGCTGCTACACAAAGCTTCCAGCTCAGGCTATCCCTTGTTCTTTGGCTTGGGTGAGACCAGTAGAGGTATGTTTGTTCCCCATTTAATCAGCAAACATTTGATGTTGTGAGCAGTTCTAGGATCTCAGGATACAGAAATAAAACAAGGAATGAGCCCTACAGTGAGAAGTCACTGTAGATACTCTGGAAGGTAGACGTGGAGATAGAAATCAGGGTGCTGTGTCATATTTGCTGTAGAGCTGTTTATAGTGTGCGCTAGGGCTGCAGAAGGAGGAGTGCGCTTCTCTCTCGAGGGTAGTCAGGGATGACCCTGCAGTCGATGTGGTTTGGAGTAGAATTTCGAAGGAAGACTAGACAAAAAAAGAAAGACGTTCTAGCCAAAGGGAGGGTAACATAAAATACCTCAAATTTGAGAAATGATAAGTGGCTCAGTTTGCTTACATGGCAGCAGAGGAGCTGGTGGATGGCGAGTGATGTGAGAGAAACAGGCCCTGAGTGGGGATGCATGTCTGTGTTCAGGAGTCCGGACATTGTCCTTCAGATGCTGGGGAGCAACTAGAGGACCTACCTAGGAAACCACCGTACTCAGTTATCTGTTTTTTAAAGGATCCTCTAGTAACGTAGTTGTGTGAGATGACTGGAGGGGATGAAGCAGGAGGAATTTTCATCCCTGTAGATATATTTCTTTATGTAGTTATCAATATCATGCACCTAACTTCGTGTTTTTCCCTCAGAACTCTTTTATCATTTTTTAAAGATTTTATTTATTTATTTATTTGACAGAGAGAGACAGAGATCACAAGTAGGCCGAGAGGCTGCCGGCGGTGGGGGGAGTAGGCCCCCTGCTGAGCAGAGAGCCTGATGTGGGGCTCGATCCCAGGACCCTGAGATCATGACCTAAGCCAAAGGCAGAGGCTTAACCCACTGAGCCACCCAGGCACACCTCCCCCCCCTTTTTTTTAAGATTTTATTTGAGAGAGAGTGCGCACGAGCAGTGGGAGTGGCAGGCATATGGAGAGGGAGAACCAGGCTCCCTACCCTGGGATCATGCGATCATGACCTGAGCCAAGGACAGATGATTGACCCACTGAGCCACTCAGTCACCCCAGAACTCTTAATTATATATGCCATACATACTTACTACACTCCATTTGTCTGTTTAACCTTAAGTTACCAGTTGCTTACATACTACATGGGTTATTACTCCAGAAAATTATCTGAGGGGCGCCTAGGTGGCTCAGTCATTAAGTATCTGCCTTTGGCTCAGATCATGATCCCAGGGTCCTGGGATTGCGGCCTGCATCAGGCTCCTTGCTCAGCGGGGAGCCTGCTTCTCACTCTTCCACTCCCCCTGCTTGTGTTCCCTCTCCCATTCTCTCTCTCTCTCTGTCAAATAAATAAATAAATAAAATCTTTTAAAAAAATTTTATCTGAAAACCACAGTACTGAAGAAAGAAAAATAAAACATTACTTATTATTCTACTTTTCAAACACATTCAATTTATAACTTTGATGTTTCAGTTGCATTTATTGCGTGTTGGGGGTCAGTTTTTGTAGGGTTGTCAGGATTACATAAAACTAATATTATTATTATTATTTTTTTTAAAGATTTTATTTATTTATTTGACAGAGAGAGATCACAAGTAGACAGGCAGGCAGAGAGAGAGAGAGAGGGAAGCAGGCCCCCCGCTGAGCAGAGAGCCCGATGCGGGACTCGATCCCAGGACCCCGAGATCACGACCTGAGCCGAAGACAGTGGCTTAACCCACTGAGCCACCCAGGCGCCCCTATTTTATATTCTTAACTCAGCATTATTATAGCATAAATTATTATGTTACCATAGTTCTCAATTTTAATAGATTCATATTAATCTATTAGGTAAATTTATATCATAGATTGATTAATTGTCCCTTTATTGTTAGACATTCAATCTGTTCTGATTTTTAAAAAATTTTTTTATAAGACTTTATTTGTTTATTTGACAGAGATCATAAGTAGGCAGAGAGGCAAGCAGAGAGAGAGAGAGGAGGAAGCAGGCTCCCTGCTGAGCAGAGAGCCTGATGTGGGACTTGATCCCAGGACCCTGGGATCATGACCTGAGCTAAAGGCAGAGGCTTAACCCACTGAGCCACCCAGGCACCCCTCTGTTCTGATTTTTGAGTATGTAAATCATGTATGCAGTTATAGTTTTTGTGCAAGTAAGTATTCAGGATTGTGTTTTAGGGTGCATTTTAGCCTTGGTTTCTTTCTTCCATCAGGAGCTCAGGGTTAAATTTGACCCACTTGGAGCCAGTGTTCATTACTGTCACATTAGCCAGATGGCTTCCATTTTCCTGCCTCTTTTTGTTTTCTTATTTCCTTCCTGAAGTGATTCTGACCTTAAGGCTTTTGCTCACTCTGTTCCTTGGAATAGCTTGTTCAAAGCATTCTTATGGTTGGCCCGTTTTTGTCACTCAGATTTAAGCGCAAATATTATTTCCCTAGAAGGACTTCCTTGACCAGCCAATTTAAAGTACACGCTCCTACTTTAGTCATTCATTGCAGGTTATCTTTATAACACTCTGATATTATCGTAATTATTTGTTCACATACATGGTGTAAGCTTCTGAGATGAGGGGCCTCCTCTCTAGTGCCTGGATCAATGGTCGCGTCATGGTAGGTGCTTAATAAAAGTCTTCAACTAAACGAATGAATCTCAACTTTTTATCTTTTTTTCTGGTTTCAAAAATAGTTAATGTGTTTGGTAATGGCAGAGTAACAACAGAATAGCATGGTGGGACTAATACTCCCATAGGCAAAATCCAAAGCAGGCGGAAAAGCAGAGATCTACCCTTGGGAGTCAAGCTGTAGGTGGTAAGATCAGGAAATTTTCAGCTTCTATGCTGGGGTCAGTCCCCCAGTCTGTAGCCTTGCTGGCTTGAAGAGTTAGAGGACATTATTTGGGACTGGCAGAACCGCTAGGAGTTATAGGAGAAATACTTGAAGGGAGGGGGCCACAGGATGGCTGTTTCAAAATCAGTGACTGCCATCTGCCCATATCCTTAGACAGCTACTAAACTCTGTAGGCAGTAGAACCCAGTGGCCCGAGTGGAGCATCACAGGCTTATCTATTCTTTCTTTTTGTCACCTTGCATGCATTATTTTGAGAAGTTTTTTAATCATTCTGCTGACACACTATATTATTTTAGGGATTACTCTAGGAAATACAACACATGTTGTAAATAGCGATCCAAAGACATTAGAACACTTTCTTTAACCTCCTCTTCTGATCTATTTTTGTTGTCTAATTATTGTTTTAAACCCCTCAAGAAACGGACTACGTAAAATGGTGTTCACCTAAATTTAGTCATGTGTTTCTCAATTTCCTAGCTCTTCATTCTTGCCGCCCAAACCCCTTGAGAACATTTTCCTTTTGTTTGAACTGTATCCTTTAAGATTTCATCTTGCGAGGGTTTGCTGATGGCAAACTAAGTCATGTGTACCTGGACACAAAATTTTGCTCTTATTTTTGGCAGATATATTCACTATGATTTTAGGTTGGCAGGTAATATGTTTAGTGCACTGAAGATATCATGACAGTGGCTTCTGGTCTCCCTTACCTTATTGGAGAAGTCAGCCATCAGGGTGGTGGATAGTCCTCTGAAGGCAGTGTCCTTTTTGTCTATAACTGTTTCTAACATTTTCCTGTTTATTGCTGGTGTCTTCAGTTTTAGTATGTTTATGTGTGGATTTATGCTTATTTATCCTGCTTTGTGGTTCATTGAACTCCCTTTTTCTGTGCTTTGTTACTTTTTATTAAATCTGGCAAATTCCCAGCCACTCTCTCTTCAGTTAGTATTGTCTTTCCCCCATTATTCATATTTATATTCCCTCTGTCTCTGTTTCTGCATCTCTTTCTCTGGGACCACAGTTGAAAGTATGTTAAACTTTCTCAATTAATCTTCCATATTTTTTAAGCTCTGTATTTTATGTATTTCTCTCTTTCCATATTGCATTCTGGGTTTTTTTTTTTTTCTTCCCAAATTATCTTCCACTTTACTGATTTACCCTTTTATTCTATCTAACCTGCTACTGAGTCAATCTTGTAGGTTTTAAGTTTTGGTTTTATTACATTTTTACTCTCTAAAAGTTCTCTTTGTTCTGTAGTTTTGCTAGATGAATTTTTATAGATTCCTGGTCTCTACAGAAGCTTTCAAATTAATCTTTTTTTTAAGTGTAGTATGTTTAGTTGCTTTATAATTATCTAAAGTTTTTGAAGGTTTTCTTATATTGTTTCTGCTTGTTCTAACTTGTGATTAGTTGTTTCTTTGTATGCCTTTTATCTTTGCCAATGTGCTATTGATTGTCTTTGAAAAATTATTTGTGAGAATGTTTGAATAATATGGGATAAGATTGCCTACCTCTAGAGAGATTTGCATTCGCTTCTGCCAGGTACCTAGGAATACTCCCTGTCTGGAATCATGTTAATTTGAATGAACAACTTGAGGATTTGTCTACTATCCAGGTGATGTGAAAATTGAACTGCAAATCCACGTGAAGGCTAGTTTATTTCTTTTCCTTTTTTTTTTTTTAAATATTTTATTTATTTATTTGACTGAGAGGGAGAGAGAGCACAAGCAGGGAGAGGGAGAAGCAGGCTTCCCACCAAGCATGGAGCCCGACTCGGGGCTCGATCCCAGGACTCGAGGATCATGACCTGAGCCGAAGGCAGTCACTTAACCAACTGAGCCACCCTGGTGCCCCTCTTGTCCTTTTTAAGGCAAAATAGTTCCCACTTTTCCTTTAATTCTCTCCTGAGAATCTTTTTTTTTTTTTAATTTTTATTTTTAAATTTTTGAAATAAACATGTGTTTTTATCCCCAGGGGTACAGGTCTGTGACTCGCCAGGTTTACACATTTCACAGTACTCATCATAGCACATAACCCTCCCCAATGTCCATATCCCCACCACCCTATCCCATCCCCACTCCCCCCAGCAACCCTCACTCCTGAGAATCTTTCAGTCTCTTGACAGTTCTTTGATGCTTTTGGACATATTTAGAAAATATTTTATCTAGAATTTTAGTGGTTTCTGTGGAAGGATTAGTCCAGTAATTTAACTTAATCATTTCTGAAAATGAAAGTGTTTCACCACATAAATAATAAAGGTTTTGGGTGCCTGGGTGTCTCGGTGGGTTAAGGCCTCTGCCTTCGGCTCAGGTCGTGATCCCAGGGTCCTGGGGTCGAGCCCCACATCGGGCTCTCTGCTTGGCGGGGAGTCTGCTTCTCCCTCTCTCTTTCTGCCTGCCTTTCTGCCTACTTGTGATCTCTATCAAATAAATAAATAAAATCTTTAACCCACTGAGCCACCCAGGTGCCAATAAATAAAATCTTTAAAAAAAAAATAAAGTTTTTTTCCATAATCACATTTTAAATAATTTTTCCTTTACTCTGACTTTTATCCTGCAGTGTGTAATTCTAGTACTTTTATGGCTTTATTTTTACATGAAAATCTCTAGTTCATCAGGAATTTATTTTTGTATGTGGTTACGATAATTCATGTTTGAATTTGTTGTCTGAATTTCATGTCTTGATTGTATTTCAGGAACATTGGACATCCAGAGCTATTTTGCAGTTTCAGAAGTTGTGTGGTTTGAAGCCATTAGTGGGGGTAGTGGATGAATATGTAGATGGAATCCTTAACATTTTCCTGTGTGATACATCATCAAATGAAGACATCTATTTCCATCATGTCTTGAGAACGGAGGGCCATGCTATTGTATGCCGAGAAAATGTCCCTTCTAAGGTGGAGCAGTCTGGATGTGTTTTGTAATATATTTTATTTGCTTGAAGGTGTAAGATAATTTAATAGAGGTTATTTGATGTATTCTTTAATCTTAGAGATATCTGTGAGATGCCTGCCTTCTTAATACAGAGCAGTCTCTTAATTTTCAAATGACCACAAAAACTACCTTTGGCTGATGAGAGTGTAAATACTTTTAAGTAACTGATTTGAGGATTCTGTCTTTCCTCAAATAATTTCTTTGAGGCCTTCTTAGAGAAGACAACACTCTTGTTTTGCAGATGTTTATGGTGATGTCTGCATCACTGTTAATAATTTTTGTGACTCGGAAAAATTATCAATATGGAAAATTTTTTAACTGTTAAATTTTAGAAGATAACATTTCCACATTTGAAAATTATGAAGTGCTAAATTTTTCACTTTTTCCTTAAGTGATTAAACCCTTTTTTTTAAATCCCAGGGTTTCAGAGAACTCAACCCTTTAGCTTTATATACTAAATCCAGTTCAGGGCCGGAGGATGTGGTTCTGACAGAACTGGGTTATCCTTCCCAGCAGCACTATTTTAATGAAGACCGAGAGATAAGTCCACAATCAAAAGAGAGTGAATTATATACCCTGGTAAGAGGTTTTTGCAAAAATTATTATAATTCTTTCTTATTATTAACATTTAATGAGTTCTTATATGCCAAACACTATGAAAAACAGCGTGAGCATAATATGTAATTTAATCCTCATAGAATGCCTGTGATATAGTTGCTGTAATCATCCTTGCTTTATAGGTGAGGAAACTGAGGATTTCCAAACCTAGGAAATTTCAGGAACTTGATGCAATGATCTTAACAGTACCTTGTCTCTCATTATTTGCTGGTTTAAATCTTTGCTACAGTCATGCTGTCTCCTGTACGATTTCTCACATATATTAAATTCCATTACTGCCTTGGTACAGTTGTGACTTCACCTACACTAATCTAATTGCTGTTCTTTCTGCATATCTCAGATTTTTCCAGTGTTCTCATTTTTTATTTTTTCTGTAAGTCTTTAAGTGACTCCCACTCACAGTTATAACATTATTATTATTACCACTATTACTGTTCCATACTATTCCACCCAACAGTAGTAGTAATAAAAAAAAAATAATAACAACAGCAACATTTATTGAACTTGAACTACATGGGAGGGACTGTTCTAAGCACTCTCATGTGCTAATTAATTTTATGATCACTTTACCAGGTTGGTGCTTTCGTATCCCTGTTTTAGATAGAAGTAAAATGAAGCACCAAGTAGAGACTTACTTGAGACTTTTGAACAAATAAATGAACATGCCCTCTGAGTCTTACATTCCTCATGACAACAAGTACTGGGCTAAGAATATAGGATGTATTAGATTGAGAGCCAAAGTGGTTTTGGGCCCAGGAAGGCTTTTTATTTTCACTGAATAAAATATTTTGCCCAAATATGTTTTATATATCTGACTTGTAAAATAAAATTGTAGAGATAATCTTATGTTTTTAGTAGATATTTGCTAACTATTAGATAAAAAGGGAAGGCCAGTTTGACCACTGGGAGATTAGCCTGTTCTGAAAAATAGGTATGAATGTTTAGTGCTGCATGTTTGAAACAGATAAGAATATTAGATTTCTACTTAATGTTAAAATTAATTAGGCTTATTTGGCCCTAACACTTTCTAAAGCCTGAATTTTTCTTAATCATTATAACTTGATTGGAACAATTATGTTTCCTGATTCTTAAATAGTGATTTGAATACAACCTTTATCATCACTGTGTTATATGTTCCAATAATCATATTTCAGTCTTGAAAATGAAATAAGGCCATCTTTTGTGCTAAAGAGATAAGAATTAAAATTCTTTTATCCCACCCCAGCCTGTATCCCATGGACTTCATACACATACACACACACACTTACCCACCGACTCCCTACCTGTGTATACCCCGTTCCCTGTAATTGCTACTCTCTTTAAATCCTGTTTGTGTTACCTCCTTCATTGCATCTTTTTAAGACATCTTCCTCCCCAACAATATTTTGGTCATATCTCTGCAATGGCTCTACACTGAAGGTTGTAGAGTGATTATCTGATTTTGTGTCTTTCTGCTGTATTTGGAGTTCCTTTATTTATTTTTTTAAAAAGATTTTATTTATTTATTTGACAGACAGAGATTACAAGTAGGCAGAGAGGCAGGCAGAGAGAGAGGAGGAAGCAGGCTCCCTGCCGAGCAGAGAGAGCCCAATGCGGGTCTCGATCTCAGGACCCTGGGATCATGACCTGAGCTGAAGGCAGAAGCTTTAACCCACTGAGCCACCCAGGTGCCCCTGGAGTTCCTTTAGAGCTGCAATCCTCAGTATTCATCTTTACATCCACAGAGCTACCCTGCACACATTTCATAATGCGTGCTCCGTAAGTGTTTGTTGGCTTGAACTAGTTTAGCAGGATAGGAAGGTGTACAGTCATGGATAAAGTTAGAAAATAATGTAGCATCCGTATGAGCCATAGTGAAAAATTCCTCCCAGAATGTATAGGCATGCAGATTTTAGAAACAGCATTAGTATGGAAAATAAAATAATGTCTCTTTCATATCTACTAGCAAGATATTAATGATGAAAAGGCTTTCAGTCACCTTAAATCTGAATTAAACGAGCCATTAAAGGATTCTGAATTCAGTTCTTTGGAAAACCAAGATAAGTGCTGTGAAGAAGACCCAACGTGGTCCATCCCAGAGCTAAAGGATCTGAAGGAAGAAAATGAGGTAGGAGAAGGAAGGAGTTTTTTGAAAATGTAATTCATATACTGAACTCATAAGTGAAGGGGATGGGAATGAGATCGCTCTTAAAATTCTGCTTTTGGTGTCATCAGAGCATCTTGCACAGATGAATTACATTTTCTCTTCAGCAGTCACCAATATGAAAGTTGAAACAACAGAGCCTTGATCACAAAAAAGGAAAGGCATTATCTGGCTTTGAGGTGTTAGTTTCTATCTCGTTGCTTTGGGCAGTCTTCAAGAATTTTGTGGTGATTAGAAATGAGTACTGAGCTACAGTATCAGGAGAACACAACAGGAAAAACCTCGACAGCTTTTGAGGATGTATTTTATTTTTATTTTAACCTAATGTTTACGTACACATAGGGCCCCATAACCCCTTCCTCTACATTTTGTATTTCACAGAGCAACCATTTTCATCTCTTCCAGATGCTGCTTTTGGAAGAGCATTAAATAACATGCTTACATTGTTATTTCCTGAGCTTTCAGTTCTACACCCTTCTGGAAAAGAGGAAGGTTTCCTTCTCTTTCATCCTTTTGCCTACCACACACAAATGTATCCTTTCTGTCCCCGGTACCCCATCTTACTAATGTTGTACCACCCTTTCCATTAGATCACTGTTCAGGGTTTACATTATTACTGTAAATGCTATTGACAGTCAAGTAGTATGCTGTGGCAACATCACAGATTTTTGTGTAAAGGTAATGAGGAGTGATGTGGTAAGTGTAGGCCAAACTGTTCTTGTTGTTTGTTATCTTGCCAGCCCTAGGTCTTATCAATAATTTTCATTTCTAGCCATTCAAATAGATATGTAGTAGTGTCACAGTGTGATTTTAACTTGCATTTCCCTAATGAGTGTTGTTGAACATCTTTGTGTGTGCTTACTTGCCATCCATATACATACTTCTTGGGGAAATGTCCAAGCCTTCTGCCCATGTTTTAGTTGGGTTGTTTGTTTTCTTGCTAGTAGATTTTGAGAGTGCTTTAAGTCTTCTGAATCCTAGTGCTTTGTCAGATATGTGATTTTCAAATGTATTCTCCTGCTTGTAGCATGTCTATATTCTCTTTATAGTGGTTTTCATACCACAGAATTTTAATTTTAAGAAATTCCAGTTTATCAGGGTTTTTACTCTAGGATTTTGATGGATTCCTGTCTCACATTTAGGTCTTTGATCCATTTTGAATTTATTTTTGTGTGTGGTGTAAGAGAGTGGTCCAGTTTCATTCTTTTGTGTATTGTCCAGTTTTCCCAGCACCATTTGTTGAAGAGACTCTTTTTTCCACTGGCTATTCTTTCCTGCTTTGTCAAAGATGAGTTGACCATATATTTGTGGGTCCATTTCTGGGTTCTCTATTCTGTTCCATTGATCTATGTGTCTGTTTTTGTGCCAATACCATGCTATCTTGTTGATTACAGCTTTATAATACAGCTAGAAGTCTGGAATTGTGATGCCTCCAGCTTTGTTTTTCTTTTTCAACATTACTTTGGCTATTTGAGGTCTTTTCTGGTTCCATACAAATTTTAGAATTCTTTGTTATAGCTCTGTGAAAAGATGCTGGTGTTACTTTGATAGGGATCGCATTAAATTTGTAGATTGTTTTGGGTGGCATAGACATTTTAACAGTATTTTTTCTTCCAATTCGTGAGCATGGAATGTTTCTCCATCTGTGTGTGGGGGGGTAGAGGGTGTCTTCAGTTTCTTTCCTAAGTGTTCTGTAGTTTTCAGAGCACAGATCTTTTACCTCTTTGTTTAGTTTAATTGCAAGATATCTTATAGTTTTTGGTGCAGTTGTAAATAGGATCAGTTCCTTGATTTATCTTTCTACTGCTTCATTATTGGTGTGTAGAAATGCAACAGATTTCAGTACGTTGATTTTCTATCCTGCGAATTTGCTGAATTCTTGTATCAGTTCTGGTAAATTTTTTTGTGGAGTCTTTCAGTTTTTCTAAATAGAGTTATCATGTCATCTGTCAAGAGTGAAAGTTTGACTTCTTCTTTGCCAGTTTGGATGCTTTTTATTTCTTTTCGTTGTCTGATTGCTAAAGCTAGGACTTGTAGTACTATGTTGAACAACAGTGGTGAGAGTGATATCCCGGTCATGTTTCTGACCTTGAAGAGGATATTAGCTGTGGGTGTTTTATGTATGACCTTTATGATATTGAGATATGTTCTTTCTAACCCTACTTTCTGGAGGTTGTTGTTTTTTTTTTTTTTTAAATCAGGAAAGGATGCTGTATTTTGTCAAGTTCTTTTGCTGCATCTATTGACAGGATGATATGATTCTTATCCTTTCTTTTATTAATGTGCTGTATCACATTGATTGATTTGTGGATTTTGAACCACCCTTGCAGCCCAGGAATAAATCCCACTTGGTCATGGTGAATAATCCTTTTGATGTACTGTTGGATTCGATTAGCTAGTATCTTGTTGACAATTTTTGCATCTGTTTATCAGGGATAGTGATCTGTAATTCTCTTTTTTAATGGGGTCTTTGTCTAGTTGTGGAATCAAGGTAATGCTGGCCTTGTAGAATGAGTTTGGAAGTTTTCCTTCCATTTCTAGTTTTGGAACAGTATCAGAAGAATAGGTATTAACTCATCTTTAAATGTTTGGTAGAATTGCCCTGGGAAGCCATCTGGCCTGGGACTCTTATTCATTGGAAGATTTTTGGTTATTGCTTCAATTTCCTTGCGGTTATGGGTCTGTTCAGGTTTTCTGTTTCTTTCTGGTTCAGTTTTGTTAGTTGTATGTTTCTAGGAATTAATCCATTCTGTTTCATTGATTTCTGCTCTAATCTTTATTAATTCTCTTCTTGCTGGGTTTAGGCTTTATTAGCTCCTCTTTCTCCATCTCTAGGTGTAAAGTTAGATTGTGTGTTTGAGACTTTTCTTGTTCCTTGAGAAAGGCTGAATTGCTTGCTTTGTACAATAGGACTGCCTTTTGCTGCATCCCAAAGGTTTTGAACAGTTGTTTTCATTTTCATTTTTTTCTTTGAATTTTTAAATTCTTCTTTAATTTCTTGGTTGACCCATTCATTTATTAGTAGGATGCTCTTTAACTTCCATGGATTTGAGTTCTTTTCAACTTTGCTCTTGTGCTTGAGTTCAAGTTTCAAAGCATTGTTGTCTGAAATTATGCAGGGAATGATCCCAATCTTTTGGTACCACTTGAGGCCCACTGTGTTTTCCATTCTGGAGAATGTTCCATGTGCACTCGTGAAGAATGTGTATTCTCTTGCTTCAGGATGGAATGCGCCGAATATACCTGTTAAGTCCATCTGGTCCAGTGTGTCATTCAAAGCCATTGTTTCCTTGTTGATCTTATGTTTAGATGATCTGTCCATTTCAGTGACAGAGGTGTTGAAGTCCCCTACTGTTATTGTATTATTATCGATGTGTTTCTTTAATTTTGTTATTAATTGGAATATATAATTGGCTGCTCCCACGTTGGGGGCATAAATATTTACAGTTGTTAGATCTTCTTGTTGGATAGACCCTTTGATTATGATATAGTGTCCTTCCTCATCTCTTATTACAGTCTTCGTTTTTAAATCTAATTTATCTGATATATGGGTTGCCACCCTAGCTTTTTTTTTTTGATAACCATTAGCATGATAAATTGTTCTCCACCTCTTCACTTTCTATCTTTGCATCTACAGTGAATTTCTTGCAGATAGCATATGAATAGGCCTTACTTTTTTATCCAATCTGATACCCTGTGTCTTTTTTTTTTTTTTTTAAGATTTTATTTCTTTATTTCAGAGAAAGAGAGAGAGGAAGTGAGAGAGCATGAGAGGGTTGATCAGAGGGAGAAGCAGACTCCCCACGGAGCTGGGAGCCTGATGCAGGACTCGATCCCAGGACTTGGTGATCATGACCTGAGCCGAAGGCAGTCACCCAACCAACCGAGCCACTGTACCCTGTGTCTTTTGATTGGGACATTTAACCCATTTACATTCCGAGTAATTATTGGAAGATAGGAGTTTAGTGCTATTGTATCACCTGTTAAGTCACTTTTTTTGTATGTTGTCTCTGTTACTTTATGGTCTGTATTACTTTTGGGCCCTCTCTTCACTTAAATTATCCCCTTTACTATTTCTCGTAGGGCTGATTTAGTGATCACAAATTCTTTTAATTTCTCTTTGTCCTGGAAGGTTTTTAATCTCTCCTATTCAGAATGACAGCCTTGCTGGATAAAGTATTCTCAGCTGCATGTTTTTCTCAGTTAGCACCTGAATGTATTGTGCCAGTGCTTTCTGGCCTGCCAAGTCTTTGTGGATAGGTCTGTTGCCAGTCTTATTATTTCTACCTTCGTTGGTAATGGAATGCTTGTCCTGAGCTGCTTTCAGGTTTTTCTCTTTGTGTCTGAGATTTGCAAGTTTCACTATTATATGTTGGGGTGTTGACCTATTTTTATTGATTTTGAGGGGGTTTCTCTGTGCCTCCTGGACTCGAATGCTTGTTTTCTTCCCCATGTTGGGGAAGTTCTCTGCTATAATTTGCTCCAGTATACCTTCTGTCCCCTCTCTTTCCTTGTCAGTTTTTTTCCTTATGTATTTTGGAGTTTTATTGTCAGGTGACATGTATTTAGGATTGGTATGTTTTCTTGATGAACTGACCCTTTCATCATTATGAAATGTCTTTATCCATAGTTACTTTCTTTGCACTGATGCCTATATCAGTAGTGATGCCTACATCCGTATACTGTCTGATAACAGTATAGCCACTCCAGTTTTATTTTTTTAACTGTGACATAATATATCCTTTTCCATCTTTTTACTTCTGACCTACCTATGTCATTATATTTGAGATAAATTTCTTGAGACAGCATATAGTTTAGTCATTTCTTAAATCCATTCTGATGATCTGAATTTTATTTAGTATGTTTATACATTTTACATTTAATATCATTATTGATATATTTTGATTATAGGTCTACCATTTTAATGTTTTTTTTTTTTTACCTCGGCTTTTCATTCCTTTGCTTTTCCTTCCTCCTTTTAGTGTTTTTTTTTTTTTGTATTTTTCTTACTTAGTATTCTTTCTTAATAGTTTGTTTTAGTTTACTTATTATATTTTTATTATATCTGCCTGTTTTATTATATCTGCCTGCCGTTTTGACTGGTTATTCTAGGAATTACAATATACATCTTGGCTTTCCACGGTTGATGTAATCTGTATGTACTAATTCAAGTGGTATGTAGATATCTTACCACCATTTAGGTATTTTACCCCTTCCCACCTCCTTTATGCTATGTTTATATATAACAAGTATATAGGTTGAGAGTTTATAATGTTAGTTTTTGCTTTCTACCTTTAAATATGTTATAAACAATTCAGTAGAAGAATAGTCCCATCACACTTCCCCAGATACTGATCGTTTCTATTACTCTTTATTTCTGATATACCAACTTTCCTTCTGGTATCCTCTCCTTTCTATCCAAAGAACTTCCTTTAGCAATTCTTTTAGAGTATACCTGTTGACAATAATTTTTTTTAGTTTTCTTCATTGGGAGTGTATTTATTTTATCTTCATTCTTGAAAGATATTTTTGCTGGATGTAGAATTCTGGGTTACTGGTTTTTTTCTTTCAGGCCTTTAAAAATTTCTTTCCACTTCCTTCTGGCTTTCATAATTTCTGATGAAAAATCTGCAGTACTGGAATTGTTCCTTTATAATAACATGTCATTTTTCTTTGTCTACATTTAGGATTGTTTGTCTTTAGTTTTCAAGAGGTATATTATAATCTGTTTAGACATGAATTTCTCTTTGAGGTTTGCTAAACTTTTTGAATCTGTAGGTTTATGTCTTTCATCAAATTTGTGCCATTTTCAGATACTGCTTCAAACACTTTTTCTGTACTGTACTCTTTCTTTTCTCCTTCTGGTACTCCCATGAAGCAAATGTTAAACCTTTTGGTATTGTCCTATATGTACCCAAGGCTCTGTTTTTGCTTTTGTTTTCCCAGATTTTTTTCTCTCTGTTGTTCAGATTGGATCATTCCTATGGATCTCTCTTCAGGTTCATGCATTCTTTACTTTTATTTCTGTCCTGCTATTGAAAACAGACTTAGGGGTCTTGATATTTGGTATAAAAACCTTTGCTGAATTCCCCTGTGTTTATGCTTGCCCCACCCTCCCTTTTACCCTCCAGAAGACCCTCTGGCTTTCCAGCAGGAAAAAGAGGTGTGGCTTCCTTTGTATATGGAATAGGGTGGGGTATCTGGAGATTTTAATTGCTTCTTACACAGACGTTTTACCAGTGCTTTTCTTTTTGTGCCCACTACACATTCTTATTTCCAAAAACCTTGTAGTAGCAATTTCTGAGCATTTGCCATATCTGGTATAAATTCAGGTTGCTTCTCAGTTTTTCCTGCTATAAGCTCAGGATTCTACTTTCTCAGGACTGCTTAGAAGGTTATCACTTACCTTCTTTTCTATATCCAGAATGTAGGTTGTGTTTTCTTCTGTTCTAATAATGAGTTTGTATCTAAAATCTGAATATTTTGGTGATGTTTCAGGAGAGAGAGGGTAATCATTTATGTATTCAAACTTCCATCTTTACCTAGAATCCAGAAAAAAAAATGTAAACCTAAATTTTAAAATATATAGCAACTGTAAGTTAAAGGTTTTGTCTTCTGATACATTCTAGGATGAGATTCCCACCGGAATGCCATGCCTGGAATCAGTGACTATCGGTGATGATGTTTGGGATGAAAATTGGTTACCTTTGCAGGCTAAAATGGATAAAGGGGATGATGCTGCCTCCCACTTATTTACCTCAAGCCTTGGTGGAAAGAAACCTTACCCATCATGTAAAGAAATGCCGCAAAAGGTTAGATCCCTGGGAAACAACAGGTCATTACTTAAAAATGGAAATGTAAATTTCTTCAATAAATCTATACACTCTGGAATTCAAAAGGATTTATCACATGATAATTCAGAAGTATTCATTTTTTTCCCCAAAGATGGTAGTGATAGGGAGGAGGACAAGTTGAAACAGGGTAGAATAAATCATGGACTTATTATCCCATCTTACCTTTTAACCATTATAACTTGTGTTTTATCATTGGACTCTTAGGCCTTGGGATCTATAAAAATGCTGTTTTCACTAATTTTATTTTTATTGTATTAACATTGTAATATAATCTCTGGGTCTCTGCATTGAGAAAAGTAGCTAATATTGGGCCTAAAATATATTTAAAATATAACTTATTTCCCACTGTTTCTTAGAGGAAGTAGCCACACTTAAATTGCTCCTTATTATTTATGCCATTTAAATACTAGATGATCATGAAAAGTCATCTGGCCATGAAAATAGTATTGAAGAAAATACTACAAACCAGAGTTGTATTTATTTTTATGACATCTGTGTGTTCCAAGGAATTCAAGATATCAGATATGGACCAATAAAACAAGGGAGGGTGGGGAAGTCACACTGATACAGCAACTTATAATAAACACATTTTCTTGTTCAATCAACTTTGCCTCCTTGCCTTTACCTTGCCCATGTTATTCTCTGTCTGGATCACGTGGCACTATGCCTTGGTTTGTGTTTGCAATTTTTTCTCTGTAGGATTGGTGCTTTTCTGGACCCAAAGATATATGGGATGATTCGTGGCAGCCTTCAGGCCTTGTGAATGGAATGAAAGGAGAAGTTCAAAAACAAGAGGCATTAGATGCTCAGGAAAAAAATACTGGCACAACCAGGATTCAAAAGGTAAATGTCTAATGAATGTTACTGACAGATTCTAATGAGGAAGTGCTTTCATTTTTAGAAAGTAAAATTCTGGTTAATGATCCCACTCTAGCATTTGGTGGAATACACATACACAACAGGTAGGTTGATTTTTAAAATTAATTTCAGTCAACTTAATTTATTTATCTCTTCAGAAGAAAATCCCAAGCTTAGAATTGAAAGATTGATAAAATCTCTATGTAAGAGATGTAGAAAACAGTTATTTTTATATAATTTAGCCAAAAATAAAAATATTTATTTTTTTCTTTTATGTTGCTGTAGCAGAAAGCACTAATCCTCGAACAAAATATATTTGTTTTCTGTTTTTTCAAATATATTATGAGCATCATGAAACGGCAGGACAATTTGAATCATGAAATCCGGCCACCAGGCCTCTGCACTTTTATTTTCATGTGTCACATTGAAAATAAAGGGCTCAAGACTGGGAGACTTGTTGAAAAGCAGATTTGTGGAAGAGGAGTTTTCTGAATGATATATTTCCTTCAAAATGCGGTTATTTTGTATGAGAGCCTTGATAAAGTATTCTATATTATATAGAATACTCTGTTCCAGAAACAGAGTGCTTAACAGCACAGATTAGTTTTAGGTTTTAGGTTTTCAACCCATCAAAAAAAACCAGTACCCATTAGCAGTCACACCCCTTTCCCATCCTCCCACAGCCTGAGGCAGCTACTAGTCTGCTTTCTGTCTCTATAGATTTGCCTCTTTGGGGCATTTCATATAAATGTCGTATAATACGTGGTCATTCATGATTGTGTTGTTTCTTTTGCCATGCTGAGATTTTTAGTTTCATCTAGTCCCACTTGTTTATTTTTGTTTTTGTTACTTATGTTTTTGGTTTCATATCCAATAAATGATTACCAAAACCGGTGTCCTAAAGCATCCGTCCTGTGTTTTCTTCCAGGAGATTTATAGTTTCAGGTCTTATGTTTAAGTCTTTAATCTATTTTGAGTTAGTGTTTGTGTGTAGTGTAAGATAAAGGTCTAGTTTCATTCATTTTCTGTGGATATCCAGTTTTCCCAACAACATGTAGTGAAGACACTGCCCTTTTGAAGAGGAAAATTACCCAGGGCAGGCCCAGGCCAAGCAGCCCAGAGGATGGAAAGTTACTAGCAATAAGCTAGAGATAACCAGAAGCCCTACTGGGAGCAAGAGATAACCAGCCGCTAGGCTTCCAGCCACAGGCTCCCTGCATTACTGTTCCCGCCTAAAGCAGCCCTGTTCCCTTGTTTTAAACCCGCCTACCAGGAGTCAGCATAGCCCTTGGAACCTGACTGCCTGCAGTGCCCTATAAAAGCCCTATAACCCTATTTACCTCCGCCCAGAACTTGAAGCATGATCTCATCTGGGTCCGCTGGTGTAAAATAAATACGAGTTCTCCTCCTCCTCGGAGTGTCAGTTGGTCTCTCACAGGTCTGATTATTTTTCCACAACACTTTCTCCATTGTGTAACGTTGGCATCATTACCAAAGATTGGTTGACTGAATATGTGTGTTTTTATTTGGGGGCTCTCAATTTTATTCTTTTGGCCTATGTCTACTTTGTGCTAGTCCCATAATGTTTTTATTACTGGAACTTTGTAGTATATTTTGAAATCAGGAAGGGTGATCCCTCCTTCCCCCAACCCTTAAGACTATTTTGGCTATTTGGGGTCCTTTGTGGTTTCATATGAATGTTAGTATTGTTTTTCTGTTTTTGTAGAAAATGCCGTTGACATTTTGATAAGAATTGCTTTGAACCTGTAGATCACTTTAGGTAGTATGGAAATTTTAATAATATTAATTCTTCTAATCTGTGAGTATGGACTATCTCCCCATGTATTTATGGCTTCTTCCATCAGTGTTACATAATTTTCACCTCCTATTCTTTTTGGTGTTATTGTGAATGTGATTTTTTTCTTAATTTCCTTTCCAAGGAATCTCTACACCCAGTGTAGGGCTTGAACTCACACCCTCTGAGATCTTGAGGCAACATGCTCTGCCACCTGAGCCAGCCAGGCACTCCTTAATTTCCTTTTCAAGGAGTTCATTTAATGAACTAATTTTGTTTGTTGATATATGAGTATTCTCCTAGTCTAGCTAAGGATTTATAAATTTTTTTATAGCTTCAAAAAAAACTAGCTCTTATTTTCAGTGATTTTTTGTGTGTATTTCACTTATTTTTACTCTAATTCTGTTATTTCATGGCTTCTGCTAACTTTAGCCTTTGTTTGTTTAATTCCTTAAGGTATAAAGTTAAGCTGTTTGTGATTCTTCTTCTTCTTCTTCTTTTTTTTTAATGTCAGCTTTTACTGCTATAAACATTCCTCTTCATCTACCTTTGGCTCAGGTTGTGATCCTGGGGTCCTGGGATTGGGCCTTGCACTGGGCTTCCCACTCAGCTCCCTCTGCCCCTCCCCCCTTCATGCTCTCTCCCCCCCCCCCCCCCCCCGCAAAGAACTAAAGTCTTAAAAAAAAATTCCTCTTAGTTCTCATTTTGCTGTATCCCATTGATGAAGTTCTAGAATATAAGTTCGGTTCGGTGGGGTGAGGCCCGGAGCCGATGACCAAGAACGAATTCTTGAGACATCTTTGGTGCAAAATGGTGGTTTATTAAAGCATGGGGACAGGACCCGTGGGCAGGAAGAGCTGCTGCCCTGGGGTTGTGAGAGATGGTAGGTTATGTACCATGGGGGTGTGGGAAATAAGGAAAAGGGAGGCTTCAAAGAACTTTCATATGCTAAAGAGGACCTACAAAATACCTAGATACCTGATACCAGAGGCCTTGCCATTGCCAAGGTTGTTTTGCCCTCTAGCAAAATATTAACATTAAGATGGGTGGGAGATTCCTAAAGAATGTCATAATATGTCCCACCCAGGAGTGGGGGTGGGGGAAGGTTGTAGGGTGTCAGCCTTTTGCTTTGTCCTCAGCCAGCCTTCTGTTTCCTCATCACCATTAATTTTGGTATGCTGTTTTCATTTGTCTCAGGATATTTTCTAGCTTCTCTTTGATTTGTTTTGACCTGTTGGCTGTTCAGGAATATGTTGTTTAATTTCCCAGGTTTCCAAATTTAATCTTTGTTTTTGATGGATATTTTCCCTGAGTATTGAATTTTCGGGTGTTACTTTTTTTTTCAGCCTTTGAAGATGTCCTACCATTATTTTCTGGCTTCTGTTGAATTGTCAGCTGTCGGGTATCATTGCTCTGTTGATAGTGATGTCTTTTTTCTCTGGCTTCTTTTAAGATTTTTCTGTCTTTTGCTTTAAGCTCTTTGATAATGATATATCTAGATGTAATTTCCTTTGGGTTTATTCTACTTGTGTTTCACTGAGCTTATTGAATAAGATTGATGCCCTTCATCAGTTTTATAAAATAGTGCTTTTCCCTTATTATTGCCCTCCTGCTGGCTTTCCAGTTATCCATGTGTTAGCACTTTGGCTGAGTCCCACATGCCTATTGGACTCTTTTCTCATGTTTACAGACTTTTTTCTTTTCTTCTCTTTTCTTTTTTCTCAGTTTGGAGATTTTTCTATTGATTCTTCTGGAATACTAGTCCTCTCATCTGTGGATCCATTCTGCTGCTAAACCTACAGATTGAATTCTTATTGCAAACATTTTTCGTTTCAGTTCTAGAATGCCAATTTGATTCTTTTTTTTTTTAATAAATTTGGATTCTTTGTTTTAATTCTCCATATTTTCATCAATTTTTTTATGTCACTTCCTCTACATTCTTGATCATGCTAATTGTAGTTCTTTTAAAGTTTTTTTCCAGGTAATGCCAGTATCTGAATCAACTTTGGGCATGTTTTCTCCCCATCCCACCAATCCTGTTTTTGGCATTGTTGGGGGCAGGGGGTGGAGAAAGTGGGAAGCATTCCTTATGATTTTTTAAAAATTGAATATTGGACAATTATGGATAAAAAAAATTATAGAGCTTCTGGGTGAGTTCTCTTCCTCCAAGGCTGATTGAGATGTCCTGTGGCTGGCAGGTAGCAGCCAGTCACCATAACACACACACTGAGTTTTGGCTTTAGACTTTGTTAGGACTGCTGTATTTCACTTTTGTCCTTACTCCTTAGATGTGGCTGTTACTCCTGACATGGGATCCTTTGGGGATCTCAGCTGAAACCCTTGGTGGGGCGCGGACTCCATCCCCTGACTCCTCAGCTTTATAATGTGTAATTCATATTCCATATAGTTACCTATCTAAAGTGTACAGTTTAATGGCTTAAGTATATTCAATAGTCCATTAGCTTATTGTACATTCATCCCATAAACAATTGTAGAACATTTTCATTATTCCCCAAAGGAACCCTGCAGCTAATGAGCTGACACCCTACCCCGTGTCTGCCAGATAACCACTCATCTACTATCTCTCTCCATTGATTTGCAACATTTCATGTAATTAGGATCAGTACAGTCTGTGACCTTTTGTTTCTGGCTTCCTAACATCATAATCTCAAGGTTGATCATGTATCAGTACTTTATTTCTTTTCATGGCTGAATAATCCATTGTATGGATAGACCACGTTTTGTTTATCCATTCGTCAGCTGATGGACATTTGAGTTGTTTTCAGTTTTTTGCTATTATGAATAATGCTGCTGTGACAGTCATGTACATGTTTTTTATGTAGATGTGTTTTAAATTTTACGAGGGTATATACCTAGGAGTGGAATTGCTGGGTCATATGGTAACTCTTTATTTAATGTTTTGAGGAATTGCCAGACTTTCCTAAATAGACATTCCCATCAGCCATAGAAGATTGTCCCAATTTGTCTACATCTTTGCCAGTACTTGTTATTTTAAATCATAGCCAACCTAGTGGGTGTGAAGTTGTATGTTATTGTGGTTTTGAGGCTGTGCTTTTGATTACATATGTTAATCATGTTTCTTGAAAGTCTGTCATTTACCTCTAGTTCCATGAGGTGAATTTTCAGATAACTGTGATGGAGGCAGTCATTGATGACTACAGAGAACTAAAGCTGGTAGAACAATGCTTCTCAAAGTACAACGTGCCCACACATCCCCTAAGAATCTTGTGAAGCTGCAGGATCTGACTGAGCAAATTTGAGATGCGGACATAGGTTCTGCATGTCTAGCAAGCCCCCAGGTGGTTCTGCTGGTTGGCGAACCCCACTTTGGGCAGCAAGGCTGGAAAACAGTCTTCGGAGAAAGAACCTTGATTGTCAAATAAGTGCTCAAGTTGACTGCAGGCATTTGCTTTCAGAGTGTCGTACAAATTTAGACAAGTTTATTTTCAGAATAAGCTATCAGAATGCATCTTAAATATGTTTTTAACAGTGCATCTTTCTTCAAAATCATACTTACAAGGAAAGAAAAAGGATATAGCCTTAAAAATGTGTTTCTGATTTAAATTTTTGTTAAACTACTGATGTGTAAAAAACACTTGGTCTGGCTGGTCTGCAGTCTATGGCTCAGCCTCATCGCAGGCTAAAATCTACAGGTGGGCACAGGGTCCATTTTTGGAGGCTGTTCGTCCATCCGCAAAGACCAATTTAGGTAGTGATCTTTCCAGCTCTGAAAGTTTATCGTATTAATATTCATCTACATACCTTTGGAGCTTTATTTAAAGAACTCACTAATGGGTCACCTGGGTGGCTCCGTGGGTTAAAGCCTCTGCCTTCGGCTCAGGTCATGATCTCAGGGTCCTGGGATCGAGCCCCAGATCGGGCTCTCTGCTCAGCAGGGAGCCTGTTTTCCCCTCTCTCTGCCGGCCTCTCTGCCTACTTGTGATCTCTCTCTCTGTCAAATAAATAAAATTAAAAAAAAAAACAAGACTCACTAATGCTTAGCCTCATTCTGAGAATAAATTTACGGGGTAACTAAAGCACACATGAATTGTATAAGCCAAGTAACAATTTGAGTCTGGATCTTTAATTTCCTGAAGTAGCATATTGTGTGGCCAGTATAGCTATCTGGAATGTGAATTTCACTCTTGCTGTCAAAAAAGGCTACGCACATAGCCCTTTATATATTGCATAATTGTATAACCACATTCATGCCAGCCATGTTTGAAAATGAGCAGGGGTTTTTTTTGTTGTGGAACAAAAGAATGCCAACTGATACAAAACGTCCACTATACATAGGAGCCTGAAGAACAGACAAAGCTACCTTTTCTGTTTGTGTGATTACTGGTTCAGTTCAGTCAGGGCAGATCCCAGACTGTCAGCCTTATAGGTGGGGTAGGGCTGGCTTTAGTCATATTAATGCCGGTTACCATCACAGAAGATAAATGCTAAGTTACCGTGGCTCGTATCTGCTTTAGCGATGACTGTATGGTAGGATATCGGATCTCATGGTTAAAATTTGATACTCCATTCAGTTAAGTCCAGTTTCGTCTCCATATGGCATATTCATCTTCTTCTCTAAAACCCTGGTTCTTAATACTCCATTTTGTCTCTTTTAAGGAGCCTTCCTTTAACTACTTTATGTTCTAGTGTGTTCACACTGCGGCACGCGGGAACGCCTCCGTTCGTGGCTGGCTGCAGGACACACACTGTTTTTCCATCTGAGGGCTGTGAACTTAGGGACAGGGATCCTGTCTTACTAGGAGCTGGTGAGAACATGGACTGGGCTGAGTTACCATCTCTGCTTTGTTACCTGCTGGTTGACACTGGATAACTTCGCCTCTTGTGAAAAGTGTTCTGCTGAGTGAAAGGGCCCCTAGCGAGGATGACAGAACCCTGGAGCTAGAGCGGTCGGTCGTCCTGAGGTTGAAATGAGGAAGCACGTGCAGGGAACCCAGCAGTGTGCCGCCTTTGCTCACGTTTCCCGCCACCCTGCTGCAGCTCTGTGCGGCAACTTCCAGCCCCGTGTTTGCTCGTAATGTATGTTCAGTAAATGCTTCTCGAATTGAATTGATGGTCACTAAGTTAGAAAAGGACTTTGTTTTTTTTTTAGAGAGGAACTAGGTTCTTGAAAGTGAATAATGGTATTAATTCTATGTGAAAAGTATGTCGTGTCTGTACAACTAAGGAACCGAAACAGGGTTAATTCTTCTGTTATACTAACAACTACTTTTCATGCTTTTGCCCAACTTTTCTCATACTGCAGCAGCCAAACGTAGGGAATTCTTCAGATTCTTCCCCATTGCCCAAATTGGAGGAGTTCTACATGTCTCTGATCCAGTCGCAGCAGTCAGCAAAAGGGAGCCGGCCCGAGCCCAGCAGCGTTCAGACTCAGGCAACGCCAGTCCAGCTGCCCGCGGCAACCCTCAGTGCAACTCCTACGGCGCTTGATTCTGCAGGAAAACATTCTGCTTCAGGTAGCTTTACACGTAATTGACAAATACAGTGGTGTGTCATCCTGCTGAAAACCTTCATTTATCTTCTTCAGAACATAACTTGAAAAATTGCTGACTTTATAGCATTTGTCTCACGTCCTTACTGGGTTCCGTTGTTCCCTTCTGTTTTGCTACTCCTCTCTCTCTCTCTCTTTTTTTTAAATGCAGTTTGGTTGGGGGGAGTCTGTTTTACAAACAATAGAACTTGCCAGTTTTTAAGTATTCTGTGAGTTTTGACGCTTGTGTACAGTCTTATAACTACCACAGTCGTGACATAGAACAACTCCACCAGTTCTTTGGTCGCTCTGCGGTCATTCTCTTCTCTTGCTTCCTGGTTCCTAGCATGTTCCTTTCTCTTTTCTAGAATTTCATAAGAAGAGAGTCATGCATTAAAAAACAGTTTTTAAGTATGACCTTTTTCCCTGATTATGACGTTTTAGAGATGGATTTATGTTGTTGCCAGTGTCAAAAGTTTGTTCTTATTTTTTGCTAAGTGGTACCCAGTTGTATGAACATCTGTTCATCAGATGAACAGATTTGGGCCATTATGAATAAAACTGCTGTGAACATTCACACACAGCTCTTTGTGTAGACATATTCAGTACATACCAAGGAGTAAAATTGTTGGGTCATGTGATCACCGCATGGTTAACTTTTTAAGAACTGCCAAAAAGTTTTCCAAAGTGACTCTTCCATTTTTTATTCACACCAATAATACATGAAATCTGATTGCTCCATCTCCTTTTATTGTCAATGATGCTATCTATCAGTCTTTTAAAATTTTGCTATTCTAGTGTGTGTGTAGTGGTATCTTACTGTGGTTTTAATTTATATTTCCTTGTTTGCCAGTGATGTTGACCATCTTTTTATGTGCTTATATGCAATCTGTAGATCTTCTTTAGTGAATTACATGTTCAAATATTTGCTCATTTTTATTGGATTATAATCTTTTCATTCTTTATTCTGGACACAAAAGCTTTGTCAGATATATACAGCTATATGTATGTGTATATATATATTACAAATATTCTCAAGCATGTGACTTCCTTAACAGCATATTTGAAAGAGCAAAAGTTGTCATTTTGGTGAAGTCTGATGGATTTTTTTCTTAATATGAAGTTTGTGTTTTTGTGTCCTGTTTAGAAATCTTTCTTAACCCAAGTAACTGATTTGTTCATTTTCTTATGAGAAGTCCTGTAGTTTTAGTTCTTAAAATTAGGTCTGTGATCCAATTTGTTGATTTTTGAGTTACGGTTTGTGTTAATATAATGGTGTGATGTAAGGATCAATGTTTATTTTTATTACATTTAATATTCAGTTCTAGCACAATTTGTTGAAAAGATTAACCTTTTTTAAATTGCCTAGATATAAAAATCTTAAAAAAAATAATAAACTGCCTAGATATCTTTGTCAGAAGTCAGTAGGCTGTATATGTGAGGGTCTATTTCTGGACTTCCTGTTATGTTTTAGTGGTTTATGGGGCTTTATACCACTGCCTTGATTAGTGGGGATTTATATATCTTGAAATTGTACAATTTTGTTCTTTTTCAAATTGTCTTGGCTATTTTAGGTCATTTTCCATATGAATTGTAGAATCAACATAAATTTACACAAAACCTAAAATGTTTATTGGAATTTTTTTCATACATTGTAATACTAGTTTCAGGTGTACAGTATAGTGGTTCAACAATTCTGTACATCACCCAATCCTCATCACCACAAGTGCTTCCTTAATCCCCATCCCCTTCAACCCCTCCCCCGACTTTTGGTAACCAGTTCTTTTTTTTTTTCCAAGTTATTATTAAATTCCAGTATAGTTAACATACAGTATAATACTAGTTTCAGGTGTACAATTCAGTGATTCAGCACTTCCATACCTCACCCATTGCTCATCACAACAAGTATACTCCTTAATCCCCATCACGTATTTGAACCATCCCCCCACCCATCTCCCCTCTGGTTACCATCAGTTTGTTCTCTATAGTTAAGAGGCTATTTCTTGGTTTGCATCTCTCTTTTCTCTCCCATGCTCATTTGTTTTAATTCTCAAACTTCACATAGGAATGAAATCGTATGCTGTATGTCTTTCTCCTACAGAATTATTTTACTTTGCGTAATACTCTCAAGCTCCATCCGTGTCATCACAAATGGCAAGCTTTCATTCTTTTTTATGGCTGAGTAATAGTCCATTGTATATATGTTCCACAGCCTCTTTATCTTTTCATCAGTCCATGGACACTTGGGCTATTTCCATAATTTGGCTATTGTTGATAATGCTGTTTAAACATCAGGGTGCATGTATCCTTTTTAGTTTGTATTTTTGTATTCTTTGGGTAAATACTTAGTACTACAATTGCTGGATCATAGGGTAGTTCTATTTTTAACTTTTGAAGAACTGCCATACAGTTTTCTGGAGTGGCTGCCTCAGTTTGCATTCCCACCAATAATGCAAGAGGGTTCCCCTTTCTCCACATTCTTAACAACACCTGTTGTTTGTGTATTATTGATTTTAGTCATTTTGACAGGTGTGAGATGATATTGCATTGTAATTTTTTTTTTTAAGATTTTATTTGTTTATTTGACAGAGATCACAAGTAGACAGAGAGGCAGGCAGAGAAAGGAAGGGAAGGAGGCTCCCCGCGAGCAGGGAGCCCGATACGGGGCTCGATCCCAGGACCCTGGGATCATGATCTGAGCTGAAGGCAGAGGCTTTAATCCACTGAGCCACCCAGGCGCCCCAGCATTATAGTTTTGATTTACATTTCCTTGATGATCAGTGATAATGAGCAATTTTTCATGTGTCATGTGGATGTCTTTTTTGGAAAATGTTTATTCATGTCTTCTGCCCATTTTAAAAAAAGATTTATTTGACAGTGAGAGAGGGAACACAAGCAGGGGGAGTGGGAAAGGGAGAAGCAGGCTTCCTACTAAACAGGGATCCTGATGTGGGGCTCGATCCCAGGACCTGAGCAGAAGGTAGATGCTTAAAGACTGAGTTACCCAAACACCCCTCCCCATTTAGATTATCTGTTTTTTGGATGCTGAGTTGTATAAGTTCTTTATATATTTTGGATACTAATCCTTTATCAGAGATGTCACTTGCAAATATCATCTCCCATTCCATAGGTTGCCTTTTAGTTTTGTTGTTTATACCTTTGCTGTGCAGGAGCTTTTTATTTTGAAGTCCAATAGTTTGTTTTTGCTTTTGTTTCCCTTGCCTGAGGAGACATATCTAGAAAGAAGTTGCTATGGCTGATCTCAGAGGTTACTACATGTGTTCTTATCTTTCTAGATTTCTAGCTGCCTCTTCTCTGGTACCTTCCTCCCACAAATTCCAGGCACCTTGGCCTTTTTTTTTTTTTTTTTTTAAAGATTTTATTTATTCACTTGACAGACAGAGATCACAAGTAGGCAGAGAAAGAGGAAGGGAAGCAGGCTCCCCACTGAGTAGAGAGCCCAAAGCGGGGCTCGATCCCAGGACCCTGAGATCATAACCTGAGCCAAAGGCAGATGCTTTAACCCACTAAGCCGAAGGCAGAGGCTTTAACCCACTGAGCCACCCAGGCGCCCCCACCTTGGCCTTCTTGAATTCCAAACTCAGTCTTTTCAACCCAGTAAGACCTCCAGGCTCAGTTTTGATTCTCCGTTCTTGTACTGAAGCCTAGAAACTATTTCAGCAGGAGCGAAGGCCCTTGTAGAGCTCACTGTTTCCTTTCTCTTAGGGATCACTAGCTTGCATGCTTATTGTTCAGTATATGAATCCGCTACTGCTTCATACATTTTGTCCAACTTTCCGGTTATTTAAAGCAGGAGAGATTGTTTTTCAATCACCGTTGAGTTAACGTCATAACTGGAAGCAGAAGTTTTGCTGCTCTTTTAAATTCTTTGATCATGTGTCCCTGCTTTCATATATTTGTACCTTTTAAAACCTGAGCTCACCAAAACTGTATAAAACCACTTATTTTATTAGAACTCACTAGCTCTTTTCCTTTCTAGTGGGCATTAATTATAACTTTTGATCAGAGTTTTACCTTTTGGAATACCTGTCAAATTCTCCTTGAATATAATTCATCACAAATGCGTAGAACATATATCACCTGCTGCTATGTTAGTTGCTAAAAATGTAAAGATGAATAATGTACTGGATTATGCTTGTGTTTTATCTAGATTTTTTGAAATCTATGTTTTTAAGGTCTAGAGCAGTACTTTTCAAAATGTAATCATATTGGTACCAATCTGTGAAGTCTTTGCTTAGATGGGCAACACATTAGCACATTATTTAGCTCACCTGGGCTTTTTTTTTTTTTTTTTTTAAACTAAAGCAGAATTTTCTTGAAGAAAGCAGTGTGTTTGCTTAGATGCTTGCAAAAGCTCCTCTCATTGTAGGCAGGTAATAAAGAGTTCACAGACCAGTCGCTTTGGTCACCGTGGTCTAGAGTATATGTATTCCCTTCCTTGGCTATTTGGAATTTTTGGCACTAATTCTAAGGAATTTATTTTATGTCTGATAACTGGTTTTTGGAACTTCTTACAAACATCTTGGTCAGTTTTGTTTTTACACTGATATAGACTCAAACTGAAACCACTTTGGCAATAGAAAACACCTCTGGGACACCATTGTGCTTACTGCTGTAAATAGGGGAGCTTAAGGACTCATCTCTGGAATTAGAATTATATCCAATTTATTTTTATGACATCCTAGAAAGAAATTGTCCCTTCCCCGTTCATAAGTACATTTTTCCCTCCCTCCACCCCCATTCTGACAAGGATTTATTTCCACTCAGTTCCCCTTTTTCATTTTCTATTTATTGACTGGTTTCTGAGTCTTATCCTCTCTAATTGTAACAACGAATGTCACCCTCTGTAGAAAATGATTGTCACACACATTAGGAAACATCTAGAATGGGCAAGAGAAGGCAAAGAGTGTGAGAACCCCTTGAAAAAACTTGTGTTTTCTTTCTTTTTCAGTGGAGAACTCTTCAGAGAGCTTAAAGAACGATTTCTCTAGTAGCCGTGCTATTACAGTGTTCAAAGACAAGAGTCATGGAGCCATAGACCAGCTGTCTTTGATCTTGTCTCCTGAGCACCAGATTTCCCAGAAGCTCTACATTCCTCGGAGCACAGCCACTGCTGCCTTGGGAGCTGCGGCACGGTTGGCCACCTCCAGGAGTCTCTTACACTGGTACCCCAGTGTGAAAAGAATGGAAGCATGAGGGAGTGAGTAGGGGAGAAAATAATAAGCCAGGTGCGTTAGGGCTTGGTGATTTCCCAAGGCCAAAACATGGAGGAGGTATTGAGACAAAACGCTATTTTGATGGTTAATGCCTTTGTCTTTCTTTGTGACCGTATGTTAGCTTTGTTTTGCTAACAGTCCACTTTGTTGTGTAAGTATTGATATTTAATGTTAGTTTTAATTTTTATTGATGATGTTTCTTATTCCGCATAGTTTTGTTCACCTTGACATAGTGGTTTAAAGGCATTTTTATTTTTTGTTGCTTTTGTGTATGTGTGTTTCTATAAATGTTTTTCTTGTACATATCATGACTGATAAATGAAAGCTGAAAAACTAATGTTTTGCGATCCATATTTAGTAAGACAAAAATTATCTCAGATTCTTATGTCCAGAAAAAGGATGTCTGAATTATAAGGCTGCTTTTTCTTTCTCATTTGAAATTTTCTATATCATAGAGATAATGCAGGGCTCCAATTCTACCATTATTATTTCTTTGAAACGCTAGGATCAGTGAGAAAATACACATCCTGAAGCTGTGGTCATGTAAACACTTCCACATTTAAAAGATTTAAGTTCTCTTTCAGTACAGGCAGTTTCCTGAAGACCTCTAACAAAATTCCAGAGACTGGTTGCTCAAACTTGGCCGTGCCAGCTCTCTCGGCTTCACAGTTCCAGGAGCTTCAGCATTGAAGCATCTGTGGGACATGGTGTTCTCTGAGGTCAAACTGTGTGAACACCACAGAGCTCAGAGTATGAGCCATCAAGTATAAATAGGAGACCAAAAGGTGAAATTAAAGAATATGAATGGTACTAATTTAAATTATTTGTGGTAAAGTACCAGACCTATCCCCAAGTTTTAAAAAATCCAATACAGAAGCATTTCTTGAAGTAAAATCCTAGAAAGAGCTGCGAATTACTGGTGTGCTGAATATAAGTTGATTCTCACCTTCTGGGCCCCTCCTCTACCACCTCCTGTTTCAGCATTACATGGCAGAGCTGGCCCTACTTCCTTCTCTCTTTCTACAGTAAGGAATTTCTCCTCTTCTCAACTACTTAATCACTCAACTACTTAAAATGTCCACTGAGGAAGGGCATGAGATGAAATAAATATGAAGTACATTTAAATTTAGACTATTACTGACTTAAACTTCTTTCTTAGAATTAAGAAATCATGAAACAAAGTTAAACCCTAAGTCTCTAAATACTGATGGTTTTGGTTTAAAAACTTTAGAGAAAACATGTTTAATGGCAACACAATTTAAAAATCCAGATTCACCTTAAAATTCTAATATATCTGTAAGAATGATATTCTAATTGAGCAAAAAAAAAAGTAATCTGGAAATTTCATTGATAGTTGATCCAACAGAAAGAACAGGTTCCCGTTTGGGTTTTTGTGAGTTTGTATCAGACATCTTGATTGGAGAAGAGAGAAAGTTACACAGAGGGTTATATGGAGTTATATGGAGAGTTAAATATCATATGACAGTTAAATATCACTTATGATACTCTAATTATGATATGAACTGGAAAAGTTCTGTTTTTCATGTAGGTTTAGGTAATTATCCACAATTTGTTTCTAAAGAAGAAAATTCATTTTGGAATTATGCTACTTAGAATCCTTCCTTTAAAGAAGAAACCAAGTTTGAGTAATATACTTCACTTCTCCAGATGGGCAGTCATTGGGTTTGGGACAAAGTGAATCTGGTAGTATTTGCATGTTTTAGTAGGTCATCGTATAACTCTGTGTAATAGCATGAGCTACCAGGACGAACTCTGCCCGTGCTGGGTAACCTGACAGCAAGTAATTTTACACATTGCCAGTTAGATGGGGTTATGGAATCAGTGTGCTAATAAGGCTCTTTGTAATCCCATCCATTTGCAAATGGCCAGATAGAGAATCATTTTAGACAGAGGCATCTCTCAAACTAATGAGTGTCAATACACTTTGAAAGAAGCTTATTTAGAAATTAATAGTTAGCATCCTGAGTGAGCAGAGTGTAGAATGAACCTCTGAGAGGTTTGGACATATTTTGACTACTTGGTTTTGACTAAGATTGCCAATCTGCCAAATTGTTTACCTGCCTTCTCCCATAAGGTGGGTTTTGCTTGGCAGTTAACTAAAATAGCCCAAAGCATCATTAAAAAAAAAAAAAAAGTACTAGATCATTTGATTCTGAGTAAATAGATTAATGTATATGGGCAGGAATAGCAATAAGAAATGTTAAAAAGATAGGTAGAGGGACGCCTGGGTGGCTCAGTGGGTTAAGCCGCTGCCTTTGGCTCAGGTCATGATCCCGGAGTCCTGGGATCGAGTCCTGCATTGGGCTCCTTGCTCACCAGGGAGCCTGCTTCTCTCTCCACCTCTGCCTGCCTCTCTGCCTGTTTGTGTGCTGTCTCTCTCTTCCTCTCTGACAAATAAATAAATAAAATCTTTAAAAAAAAAAAAAGATAGGTAGATGTTCTGTGGTTTAGGGTTAAGTTAATTAAATCTTATTGTCTAAAGATGGGTTGACATATATTATACTTAGAACAGTCCTGCTCACCGTACTTTCGTTAAGGATCCATTAGAAGTAATGGAGTTCCCTAAGAAGTGTTGATTGGCAAGTGCGAGCTTCAAGTGCTTGAGAGGGATGGAGATGAGAACATAAAAGAAAACCCTAGTTATAAACTCTTTAGGTATGGAAGGAGTAGCTTTACTAATAGCCACTGGGGCTCTAAATCTAGTGGCTCAGCCAATACCCATCTCCCATCTAAAAACACACCATGGGGTATGAAAAGAGGGGCCCTTCCAGCTGCAGTCAGCTATGCCTGTACCCACCATCTGACTCTCACACATCTGAGATGCCAGTTGCCCATTTCAAGGTGTGGGGATAACTAGAAGCTTCTGCCTATAGACAGGCTCCATCCAACCTGAAGACTTAGAATTACAGTGTTAATCTAAAGGGGACCTTAGATGAAGAAATTTGAAGACTAGAAAGACTGACCTATCTATGGTCACATGCCTTAAATTCCCTTCTCTGCTGACTCCTAGCTCAGCACCCTTTCCACAGGAAAATACTGCAATTCTGTCTTGAGTAGTTTAAATGATTTGGTGCCAGAAGACATAGTTCGGCAGATAAGTTCAAAAGAATGGTGGTTCTGATAGCTGGGCAAACCAAACCCCTGGTGTTGGAGGAGAAAGAGATTGATTTACAGGATCTTGTATTCTTAAATGTGGCTAGCTTAAATAATAGTGGGCCAGTTCTGTGGTTAAAGAATCTGAAATGATGTACGGGGGCATGGTAAGGGATGAGAAACCAACATCTTATAGAGCAGTCTTTCTGAAGCTTCCTACTGACATTTATACAGGTGTAGCAAGGCTTTTCTAACCAATTTTTGATCTCTTTTCAGAATTAAATTCGTCTTATTTATATGTACAGTGTTGTGGACAGCATTATTCATAATTTTGCAGGAGCCATCACTAAGACATTTAAAAATTTTAATTTCCTGGAGCCTGTTCTGATCTTGACATTTTCCAAGATGCCAGCAAAGGTGCATAAAACTCAATCTGCCTATATTCTTCAAACATATCCCTATTCCTAACAGTTAGATGTTATTTGTCTCTTTTAGTCATTCACCAGTCAACCTAGGAAGTTCTTGGTGTCATTAGCCTATTGGATCCAGAATACTTTAAATTCTGCTCTTTTTAACCAGATAGACAAATTATTTTAACTTCTCAGTCAAGGTCTTCTCTAACATTTAGAATCACAATTGACTTGTGTGTCACTTTTCACATGAAATTGAGTGTTGGACCCACTTCAAACCTGAGTGGAGAATTTATTCAGAGCTAAAATTTCTTGGTTATAAGCATAGTTTTCAGGAAATGCTTTTAGCTTTCTGTTCAGTATAAACTTTGTTTTATATTTTGGTTAAAATTTAAAAAATTTTTTTTAATCTATAGAAAAATGTTTATAAGAAACAATGTTTACTTGATTGTTACATCTTTGTGCAATTTAGATAAATAGTTTGATGAGGAAACCAAGCTTAGGACTCTTTCTCTGCTCTCTAAACTTTTGTTATGGGACTAATGGGAAGTTTATTGGGATCAAAGAATTATGATGGGCCTAATGTTTAGAATTTGTAACAGCATTTTGTTTGATTTATATATTTGTGAAGCTGGAATTTGTTTTGTCAAAAAATGTCAAGGTGTTTTTTTGTAACTAGTTTTTGTTGTGATGATTCTGCTGGGAGGAACACTTCGCTTAAATATGTGACCCGAAGAACTTAGTTGACTAAAATACAAAATTTGCTTATACAGTTGTGCAGACAGAGGTTTGACATTCTTCTTGGCTAAAATATTTGTCTTCATTTTTGGCATGACCTTTTTATTCTTGACCTTTGCAAACGTTTGCTCTGTTGTAGGTAAATACTTTATTCCATGAAATTGGAGTTAACACCAGAGCCATGTCTTAAGTAGCTGACGACCACATTTTAGACTTGTTTTATTTATCTTGCTAATAGCAACTTGTCAAACCCTTCTCAGCCATGTTCCAGTGTCTTAAATTCTCTTCTGAGACTTTCCCCACACAGACTAGCAAGCCTGCTCTCCACTTGCCTCTGTATTTCAGTGTTTTCTCAACTGCTCACTTGATTGCCCGAGTCCCCGTTCAGAGCCTTCATTTGCTACAGTAGCTCTTCTGCCGGGAGCAGAACCTATTTCTAGGCAATTCTCAAACTCCATTCAGGTGGTTTGGTCACACTTACCCTTAATCTGTCATTCCACAAGACAGTAAGTAGGAACCAAAGTCAGCTCAGTTCATTTCTTACTGCAACAAATGACTCCCTGACTGAAGTATTCTGTTACTGCAGTTGTCACTCATGTGAAAAATCTCTTTTGATACCATATATAGGAAAATACCCGTCAGCTAAGTGAGACTGGGTGTGTACCAGGATATCGACTATGAAGCAAAGAGTGTCCCCACAGGATGTTCCCTATTTCTTGCCCATGATACGTGTCTTCCCTTTTGCTTGGATGAAACTTAAACATACATGATATGGGCCAGAGTCAAAAGTTTACCCCTTCTTTTCTGAATTTTAAAAATAAGAACATTTTTGTACTGATCTGGAGTAAGAAAGTTAAATTGGGAGTGGGGGGTGGAACATTTGGCTATAATTAAGTGGTAGCATACTTTCCGCACCTCACATTTTAGGCAGTGGAGCATCTGTTTAGGATCAGCTAGAATGTGATCTTTTGACACCTTTTCTACAATTGATGTTGATTTATTTTTGTTAAACTTTCTAGATGCAGAAATGTAACTCCACCAACACTTTTTGGTCTTTATGTCATTTTTGCTTGGAATTGACTTTATCCAGATTCACGAGGCTCAACAAAGTTGTTGCAAAACAAGAGAAAAATGGCGAGTTTTTCGACAAAAACCAAATCAGGTGTAGCAAACATCAGTGTAGTTAGGTATCCG